TGTGCTTAATTTTTCTGCACTTCACAGTTATTGTATTTTTTACAAATTGAAAATAAGACCCTTTATCAGTAAAAACGATTCCAATCTCTAAAGGCTCAGATGATAGTATTTCTTAGCAATAAAGCATTTTAAAATTAAGGTATGTGCATTTTTTAGAATAATACTATTGCACACTTAATAGAGTATTATGTAAGCATAACTTTTATATATGCTTGGAAACCAAAACATTTGTATGACTTGCTTTATTATGGTGGTCTGGAGCCAAACCTGCGGTATCTCTTGAGGTATGCCTGTATATTAACACTCATAATCTTCACAACAACCCTATGAGCTAAACACTTTTATTATTCTCACTTCATGATAAAGAAATTGAGAGAGATTAGTACTTTTCCTGGCTGTGTGGCAGAATCCACAATTCAAATGTAGGCAGTTTGATTACAAAATTATACCAGCTTTCTTCATATTTCCTTTACTTTTATTGTTATTTAACTAGAGGCCTGATGCATGAATTTGTACAAGGGCCTGAGGCAGCTGCCCCCTGCCTCAGCCCCCATCTGCCATCGTGGCGCTTTGTCATGAAGGAAGGATATCTGGACTAATTCCTACCATATTATGCTTTTATTATTATAGATACATTTTTTAAATAGTAAAATGAATTTTATTATGAAATCAAATAGAACACACATACCAGATGCATAGCTTAACGAATTTTAAGAGACAGTACCATCTAGGTCAGGGTGTAGAACAGCACTATCCATGCCACAGCTGCTCTGTTGCCCCAACCCAAGCACAGCTACTTCCATTAGTAGCCATTCTTCTTACTTTTATAATAATTGCTTTCTTGTGTGTGTTTTTTTAAATTTTTTTCATAAATGTGTATTCCTAAATATTATAATGTAGTTTTATCCATTAAAATTTTTTTAAAAATGTTTAATTTGTAGTTTTTCTCTCTATTCCTTTTTCTTAAAATTTTTTTTTGTTTTTGTTTTTGTTTTGTTAAAAGAGTCTGAGTCATTTGACCTGTATATCTTACAGTCTGGATTTCGCTGATTGTATAATCGTGTATAGTTCATATGTTCGCCTGCCTTGGGTAGTTCCTACACATTAGTAATTAGATTGCAGACTGGATCAGACTTAGTCATCCCCTTGGCAATTGTCTAAATGGTGGTTGGCAAGACCATAGGAGGTACATAATGTGTCCTTGTTTCTCTCTTCCTGATCTCAGCAGCTGGTGCTACTTGATGCCTTTATATCTATTCACTGAAGGTTGCAAAATAGTGGTATTGTATTTCTACCAGATCTTTTTCACTTATTGGTTGGAATACTAGTCCCTTATCTATCATTTGGATAGGCAGCAGTATAATTCCTTCAGGAAAGGCAGCATTTATTCTTGATTCCTATCATTTACTTGCCAGTTTTCAAGATTATAAGTTGGTTCTTTATTTCCCCCCCCCCCCCAGTTTAGGTATTATTGAATTTACATTTTAATGTAAATATTGACAATGTTAGACATTCACAAAGTTGAATTTTCCTATTTGAATGCATATATATCAAAAATATTTACTTTAGGCCGAAACTGGTTTGGCTCAGTGGATAGAGCGTCTGTCTGTGGACTGAGAGGTCCCAGGTTCTATTCCAGTCAAGGGCATATACATTGGTTGCAGGCACATCCCCAAAGGGAGGTGTGCAGGAGGAGGCAGCTGATCGATGTTTCTCTCTTGTCAGTGTTTCTAGCTCTCTATTCCTCTCCCTTCCTCTCTGTAAGAAATTCTGGTCCTTCCCTAAAGTTAAAAATATTTTTTGTTTACTGTATTTCTTTTTTTTTTTTTTTTTAGAAAAGCATTTATACATAAACAAGAAATTATGTGCATTTATACTTTTCCCAGTGAAAATTATGTACTGTCCTCTACTTGATTTTTTTTTTATATACATTTTATTGATTTTGTACAGAGAGGAAATGAGAGAGATAGAGTTAGAAACATCCATGAGAGAGAGTCATCGATCAGCTGCCTCTTGCACACCCCCTACTGGGGATATGCCCGCAACTAAGGTACATGCCCTTGACCGGAATCGAACCTGGGTCCCTTCAGTCCCCAAGCCGACGCTCTATCCATTGAGCCAAACCGGTCTCGGCTCTACTTGATTTTTAATATACAAATGTCTTTGAGATAATTCATAACCAGTACGTGAAGAGCATTATTGTTTATATTTACATCTACATGATATTTCCTTTGTCTATCCTGGTACATTGTATGTTAACAGAATTTATTTACTAGTTTCTAATTGATGAATATCTAGTTTGCTTCTATTCTTTTAATAAATAACATTGTAGTAATTTTGTTGATGTTTTCTTTTGCTGTGCAGAAGCTTTTTATTTTGATGTAGTCCTACTTTTTAAAATTTTCTCCTTAGTTTTCTTTGCTCTTGGAGATGTATCAGAAAGCATATTACTATGAGAGATGTCTGAGGTTTTGCTGTTATGGTTTCTAAGATTTTTATCATTTCATTCTTACATGTAAGTCTTTTATCCATTTTGAGTTTATTCTTGTGTACGGTGTAAGTTGCTGGTCTAATTTCATTTTTTGCATTGTCCAGTTTTCTCAACCCCATTTATTGAAGAGACTAGACTTACTCCATTGTATGCTCTTGCCTCCTTTGTCAAATATTAATTGAGCATAGTGGTCAATTTCTGGGTTCTCTGTTCTGTTCCATTGATCTATAATATATGCCTGTTCTTGGGCCAGTACCTGGCTGTTTTGAGTACAGTATCTTTGTAGTATAACTTGATGTTTCCAACTTTGTTCTTCTTTCTCAAGATTGCTGTGTCTATTTGGTTTTTTTTTTTGTTGTTTTGTTTTGTTTTTGTTTCTTTGTTTTGGTTCCATATAAATTTTTGGAGTGTTTGTTCTAGATCTGTAAAATATGATATTTGTATTTTAATAGGGATTGCATTGAATCTGTAGATTGCTTTGAGTAGTATGGACATTTTAATAATGTTGATTCTACTAATTCATGAACATGGTACTATATTCTTCCACTTGTTTTTTCCCCTCTGTCTCTTTTTTGATGTCCTGTAGTTTTCTTTTTTATGTTTTTAAAAAATATTTTTTATTGATTTCATAGAGGAAGGGGGTGGGGAGAGAGATAGAAACATCAGTGATGAGAGAGAATCATTGATTGGCTGCCTGCTGCACGCCCCACACTGGGGCATTGAGCCTGCAGCCTGGCATGTGCCTTATCGGGAAATTGAACTGTGACCTCCTGATTCATAGGTCGATGCTCAACCACTGAGCCACACTGAGCCACACCAGCCAGGCATCCTATAGATTTCTGAGTACAAGTCTTTTACCTCCTTAGTTAAGTTTATTCCTAAGTATCTTACATTTTTTGTTACAATGGTAAATGAGATTTTTTTTTTATCTTCTCTTTCTGCGAGGCTCAAAGACGTTAATGAATTTGCCCATATCATACAGTTTAATAAATGGTTAAGCTGGTAGTCACTCAGGCCATCTGACTCTGAACTCTAAACCTCTATACTTTATTCTTTATAGCGCTACAAGAACATATAACAAGAGAACCTGATCTAGTCATGGAATCAGGGGAGATTTCCCTGAAGAAGGAGATTTGAGCTGACATCAGAAGGTCAAGTATGAGTTAACCAAGTGAAGAAGAGATTGAACTCCTAGGCCTTGAATATGGAGGGAAATTGCATTTTGAAGATTTGAGAGAGGTCCAGGGTGGCTGCTAGGAAGACTGTTAGAATATGTGGCTCCATGCTTTTTGAAAGATTCTCTTACAAGTTGTTTAGTTGGATTTCACTATCTGAAGCAGAAGGGTGGTTTGGATGAAACATTGAACTGGGAGGAAGGAGGCCTACCTGTAATCAGTCCTGGAAGATTATTGCACATCTCTGGGCCTCAGATGTCTCTGGTACCTGATATATTGGTACAGCTCTCCCTACACTCTCTTCTGCCAGCTGCAAACAGCTAGAGATTTAGGATTAAACAATTTTCAAGGTCCTCTCAAGTTCTAAATTCCATGATGCTAATGAATATGTGGGATTGTGCCTCTGGAGGGGAAGAATTATACCTATATATCAAACAACCAAAAAAAAAACACGTTTTTTTCTATAGAATGGTACAGACTTAGATAATGAGAGCAAGTGACAGTAGGTTAGACTGAATATAAACTTCTGTTTGTGCCTGTCAAACAGAATCCTTTGTCTCTAACCTCTGATCTATTTAGAAATAAAGTCCACTTAAGAAAGTGGCACTCGCCGAAACTGGTTTGGCTCAGTGGATAGAGCATCAGCCTGCGGACTGAAGGGTCCTGGGTTCGATTCTGGTCAAGGGCATGTACATAGGTTGCGGGCACATCCCTGTTGTGGGATGTGCAGGAGGCAGCTAGTCGATGTCTCTCTCATCGATGTTTCTAGCCTCTATCTCTCCCCTCTCCCTTCCTCTCTGTAAAAAATCAGTAAAATATATATATTTTTAAAAAGTGACTTAAAAAAAAAGTGGCACTCCATTCACTCTTAGAGTCAGTCCAGTGAATATATTAGATTGGCCCATAACTTTTGGGTCAGGCACAATTCTTTTAGTTTTTTGAAAGGCAGCTTCCAAAAGATAACAATTTATTAGCATCATGTACTTTTCACAGTTAAAACAAAAATATTTTTCTTTGTGTTGTTATGTGTGTAAAACCCCATATTGTTTTATATCTAGAGGAAAACATTATAAGATAAGGTATATTCTAACCATTCTTTAAATTAGCTTTCTAAGAAATAACAAAAGTTTTGCCACAGGAATGGCTTAAATTGTCAAGAGTAGTGGTTCTTTTAAGTATAATTTCTTTTAACACCTCTTGTACTTTTTTCTGTTTTAATTTAGGCAACTCAAAAATTTTCACTGCCAGTCTCTACTTCTTTGGTTCTGCAAAGGAACAGTATATCCCCAGCAGCCCCTAAAGCCCCGCAGTCCAGTAAATCATCAAACAGACTCATGACTGAAAAACAGGTAAATGTGAAATATTTGAAACCAGTGTTTTTCAAAATAATGTGGTGGCAAATAATAATTCATCTCCAAATGTGAAAAATCTTAAAAGCATTCTTAATTTAAAAGGATTCAGGTGTACAGCATAGGGAGTATAGTCAATAATATTGTAATAACTGTGTATGGTGCCAAGTGAGTACTGGAAATAATGGGGGAACACTTTGTAAAGTATATGATTATCTAACCACTATGCTCTGCACCTGAAACTGATACAAGATAATATTAAATATAAACTGTAATTGAAAAATAAAATAAAATAAATTATTTTATTTTGTAAAACTAGAAGCCTCGTGCACAAAATACATACACTGGGGTGGGGTCTCTCAGCCCGACGACCTATGCCCTCCCACAGTCCGGGAGCCCTTGGGGGATGTTCGGCTGACAGTGGGCCTAAGCTGTCAGTCGGATATCCCCAGCGCTAGGAGAGGCTCCTACCACTGCCGCTGCACTCGCCAGCATGAACCCAGCTTCTGACTGAGTGGCATGCCCCCTGTGGGAGCATACTGACCACCAGGAGGCAGCTTTTGCATTGAGCATTTGCCCCCTGATGGGTCATTGTGTGTTGTTCTGCTGTTTGGTTGATTTGCATACTAGCCTTTCATTATCCTATATAATAAAGAGGTATTAATAATATGTAAATTGACTGTCACTCCAACACACAAGATGGCCGCCACAATGATAGCCAGGAGGGGGCTAGCAAGGGAGGGCAGTTGGGTGGACCAGGCCTGCAGGGGAGAGCAGTTAGGAGTGATAGGCCTGCAGGGGAGGGCAGTTGGGGTGATCAGGCTGGCAAGGGAAGGCAGTTAGGGATGACTGCGCCAGCAGGGGAGAGCAGTTAGAGGCAATCAGGCTGGCAGGGGAGCAGTTAGGCATTGGTCAGGCTGGCAGGGGAGTTGATAGGGGTGATCAGGCTGGGCAGAAGTAGTTAAGGGCAGGCAGGCAGGCAAGTGAGTGGTTGGGAGCCAGCAGTCCTGGATTATGAGAGGGGTGTGTGACTGCCTGTTTAGGCCCAATCCCACCAGGCAATCAGACATTCCTTGAGGGGTCCCAGATTGAGAGGGTGCAAGTTGGGCTGAGGGACATCCCCTCTCCATGCAGGAATTTTGTGAATCTGGCCTCTAGTATAATTTTGGGAAATGCCGGGTTAAAGACTATTAAATGATTTCATTACTCTAAGATACCAGTTTCTAAAAGGAGGCTCAAGAATAAAGCACATAATTTGGAAAAAGCCATTCTTAGCTCTTTTCAGAATTTGCAAACAGTTGATGTTAGTCTTTCTCTTAAAAGGTATTAGAGACCCTGGCCAGTGTAACTCAGTTGGTTGGAGTGTTGTCCTATACACCAAAGATTGCAGTGGGGGTGCAACCAATCGATGTTTCTCTCCCTTCTTCTCTCTTAAAAAAATCAATTGAAAAGATAAGGAACAACATGTATAACTTGATCATTCAAAATTCATGACAGTATTATTTACAAAGCATTTTGTCATTATGAGTCATACTAGGTAGACCTCCACTGAGATATCCACATAGCTTTTGGCTCCTAAAACAGATACATTGATAATTTTTTTTATTTACTGATTTGAGTGGGGGGTAGGACAGAAACATCAATTGTTGTTCCACTTATTTATGCATTTATTGGTTGCTTTTTATAAAATTGTAATGATTTCAGAGAGGAAAGGAAAGAGAGGTAGAAACATCGATGATGAGAGAGAATCATTGATTGGCTGCCTCCTGCAAGCTCCCAACTTGGGATAGAGCCCTCAATCCAGGCATGTGACCTTGGCCGGAATCAAACCCGACATCCTTCAGTCCATAGGCTGATGCTCTATCCACTGAGCAAACTGGCTAGGGCTATTGGTTGCTTCTTATATATGCCCTGACCAGGGAACTTATTAGAACAACACTCCAACCAACTGAGCTATCAGCTGGGGCTATCAGTAGTAATTCTAGCTCTGTGTCATTAATCTTTGTGACCACAAGACCTAAGCATAAATAAGAGGAAAGGTTTGGGGAAGGAGGAGAGCGTAGAAAAGATAAAAAAGTGAAAGAAAAAGAAAAGGTTTATTTGGCGCTGTGGGTCATAATACTGTCAAAGAGTCATCAGGGTAATTTGGTCCTTTTTTATCCTGATAGAATCTTTAATGTCAGAGGAGCATTTGGATGTGGAGAGTAATGCTGTTATTCGTGTTTTGTCTGTCTAAATTATTAACCTTTAAGCTAGTACAGTATTTACATTCTATACCAGTAATAAAATGTATTTATTGTAAAAATTATATTTTCTCAAGCATTTAACATTGAAAAGTCACTCAAATTGGCTTTGATTATTGTACTTAACATTAAAAGTTCATTATAAAACTTATCAATATCAGGAATTTAAATGTGTCATTTAAAAAATTATCTCCAACTGATGAACAAGAATAGACCCAGAGATAAGGAGCCATGGGTCAGACTGTTGGACCTCAAAGGGAGGGTGGGGATAAAAGGGAGAGATCAACCAAAGGACTTATGCGCACACATATGAGCCTAACCAGTGGTCAAGGACAATAGGGGGGTGGGGCATGAGTGGGAGTGGGGTGGGGGATTGGAATGGGGGGTTGAGGACAAATATGTGATACCTTAATCAATAAAGAAATTTAAAAAAAATTATCTCTATTCCGTTCCATCTTTTTTAAAAAAATATATTAAAAATTTTTGGAGAACAAGTTCTGTTATTCTAAGAACAAAGGAAATATACAAGAAGGTATTTTTTTATTTTATATCATAAACTTGATCCTTTTCTCTCACCTTTGTAATTGTAGCAGGAAGAAGCAGAATGGGAGAGCATAAATGTGCTGTTGATGACACATGGCTTAAAACCTTTAGTTCTAGTCAAAAGAACAGATCTTAAAGGTAACCAGATCCTATTCTTTTTCCTGATGGTAAAAAGCTGTTTTTTTCCTTTAAAAATTTTTTTATCTTAAAAATTTTTTACCATAACCTTTATTTTTACTAATTGTATTCTTTTTTTTTTTTTTTTTAATGTAGATCTCATCATTTTTGACAAACGGTCATCACAAAGGATGAGACAGAACTTGAAAACGTTGGTGGAAGAAACAGAACGTCAACAGAACGTGATCCAGGAGCTCGTAGATACTAATCAGCAGCTTAAGTAAGAAAATGGGGGAGAGGAGGCTCTCTTGGATTTTTTTGCACCTAGGTAGATTCAAATACAAATATATAATATATATTTTAAATATATTTTTATTGATATCAGAGAGGAAGGGAGAGAGATAGAAATATTAATGATGAGAGAGAATCCTTTATTGGCTGCCTCCTGCATGTCCCCCACAGGGGATTGAGCCTGCAACCGGGCATGTACCTACCCTTCACTGGAATTGAACTTGGGACCCTTTAGTCCGTGGGCTGATGTTCTGTCCACTGAGCCAAACCAGATAGGGTGCAAATATAAATATTTTTAATAGGTAAGCTTTTGGTAATAGCTTAGCAAAGAAGTCTTTAGAATTTATTTGTTAGATGAATAGATTTCTTGATGTGATTTGTGTTTATTACTAAGGAAGGACTTGTGTGTCTATCATTAGAAAAGAACTTGAACTAGAAAAATGCCGAGCAGTAAATCAGGAACAGCGAGCTAATGACTTGGAACAAATAGTGGAGAGTGTGAAATCCAAAATTGGTGAATTGGAGGATGATTCCATAAATAGAGTTTGTCAGCAGCAGAATCAAATAAAAGATCTTCAGAAAGAGCATAAAGCTTTACAGGTACTGAGTTATATGTTTTTTTACATGAGTATAAAACAGCTCATCAAGGTTACAGGTGACTTTCATGTTGCTTAATTCAATGGTCTTTACCTTACCTGGCCTATTACTCTTTCTTCTTGATATTCTCCCCTTCGTTTCTAGAATATTTCCTCATTTGGTTTCCCTCTATCCCCACTGCTGATTCTTCTCATCTCCCTAACCTCTCAGTGTTGGGATTCCCTAATAGTAATTCCTTAGTCCTTTTTTCTTTCCTATATACTTTAACTCCCTTGGTGATGCTCAGTCTTTCTTAGCACCTAGTTTAAATCTGTAGCCCAAAACTCTTCCCTTACTTCCTGACTCATTTCCCACTACCCACTTGACATCACTCCTGGAGGTCTAATAGGCATCTAGAACTTTACCTGTCTACAACTGAGTTCCTGTATTTCCCCTCCAAAACTTTCTTCTGTTAGTCTCTATTCCGGTCCAAGTCACCTTCATTTATCCTCTGCTTCTCTCTTGGCTTTGCTGCTTCTCACTTTGCCTTTTTTCTTTTTCTTTCCTTTTTTGTTAATTCTCACCTGAGGATACTTTTCCATTGACTTTTAGAGAGAATGTAAGGGAGAGGGAGAGACAGGAGAGAAACAACTGATGTGAGAGAGACACATCTATTGGTTGCCTCCCGCACATGCCTCAACCAGAGCCAGGGACTGAGCCTTTAACCGAGGTACATGCCCTTGACTGGAATCGAACCTGAGACCCTTCAGGTAGGGCCGATGCTCTACCTACTGAGCTAACCAGCTAGGGTTACCCTTATTTTTTATTTTTGTTTTTTTAACATATTTTTATTGATTTCAGAGAGGAAGGGAGAAAGAGAGAGAGAGAGAACCATCAATGATGAGAGAGAATCTTAGATCACTGCCTCCTGCACTCCCCACAGTGGATGGAGCCTACAACCTGGGCATATGCCCTGACCGTGAGTCAAACCTATGACCTCCTGTTCATAGGTCAATACTCTCAACCACTGAGCCTTGCCTTTTTAATGTGCTCTCAGTATAATAGCTCAATACTCTCCAATGGCTTTCCTTTTTTCTTTAGTGTTATGGAGATTCTTTGGATTCCTTTACTATTATGAAACCTTGAATGCAAGCAGTTATAAGCTATAATTCCCCTATTTTATACCTATTTTACTTGTTACATGTTTACATTTATGGAGCTAGTACCTATTTAAAAAACAGCCTCAGTACTGAAGTTCTTGAATGAAGCAGCTCGATAGAAACTGTGAAGATGGCTTTGTGTACAATATTGTTAGAACTACATGTCCTAGATGTACATATTATAATTTTTTTTAAATTTCTTCTAGGCAAAATGTCAGCATTATAAGAAAAAACAAATGGAGCAACAAGAGACTATTGATTTTTTGCAAAAGGATATCTGTAGATTAACAAAGGAGGAGGAAGAGCGCATTGTCACTCAAAACCGAGTATTTTCTTATCTCTGCAAAAGAGTTCCTCATACCATCCTGGACAGACAGTAATGTTTACTTTATAAATTGTTATGTGGATAGATTCATCATGTTTTAAAACTGATTTTATTTTGGGAGTGGTTATATGTATCTCTTATAAATTGGGTTCTGCTTTCTTCTTTTTTTTTTTTTTTAATATATTTTTATTGATTTTTGTACAGAGAGGAAGGGAGAGAGATAGAGAGTTAGAAACATCGATGAGAGAGAGTCATCGATCAGCTGCCTCTTGCACACCCCCTACTGGGGATATGCCCGCAACCAGGTATATGCCCTTGACCGGAATCGAACCCGGGACCTTTCAGTCCCCAAGCCGACGCTCTATCCACTGAGCCAAACCAGTTTCAGCAGGGTTCTGATTTCTTTATAGTAGGATAAAAATTCCCAGGATTTCTAAGCAAAGAAATTAAGCCCTGAGACAGAAAGACAAGTTAGCAATGAGCTGTAATAGTGTAGGTGGGAGATAATGAAGGCCTATGTTAGAACTAAAAGAGAGATATTGCAGAGATGGACAGAAATTGTCCAGGCTGACTGGCTATAGTTGTTGAGGGGAGGAGAGGAGTCAAAGATTATTAGATTTCAAGTTAGATTTGGGGAATGGCGAGGAAAGAGGATGAATTCATTTTTGGACAAGTGCCTAAGCACCTTATGCCAGCTATGTAGATGTATCAGGGCTGCAGTTAGAAGGACCAAACTCCAGAGAACTTCCAAATTTCAGATAGACAAAAAAGACGCAGAAGAGAAGTTATGTTTGGGTGTCAGGATAACCAAAGAGCAGAGTGTTTCAAGGAGAGGGTGGTATCAAGTGTTACATGCTGCCTCATCAGTTTATATGTTTATCTTCTTCCTGCCTTATTTGCTCAGAACTCCCATTTGACACATAATAACTCCTCACTAAAAGTTTATTGGAGATAGCAGGTAACAATCATCCAGAATGAGTGGAGTTTGCTAAGGAGGAAAAGATAAAAATGGAATGGCGGCTTAAGGGGGAAGTGTGGGATGAGAGGGCATGTGAAGTACAGAAAGGTTAAGCTAGTATGTGTTGGGATGGCGAAAGGTTGAAAAGAAAGACTAATCCATAAAGTTATATTAAAAGCACAATTGGTTGAATTAGATCTAAAGGCAGGAGATAGGTAAGTTTCCCAAGATAGGAGAGACATAGTATGAATTTTTACTTTAAAAAGAATAACATGTGAAAGTATAGTGTTATTTTATTTCTTTTTAAGGATTTTTTTAAATTAAAAAAGCAGTACATGCTTATAAAAATTCAAATAATATAGAAGTGTTTAAAATGTTATAGACCTGCCTGTCCCTCCTAATTCCCACACCTTAGAGATAACCACTTTAATCATTTGGTTTGTGCCCTTCCTAGTATTTCACAACAAGAATGCTCTTGGTATTTTGTGTGGGACTGTCATGCTCATTGATGAAATTTTAAAAAAATATATTTTATTGATTTTTTACAGAGAAGAAGGGAGAGGATAGAGAGTTAGAAACATTGATGAGAGAGACACCGATTCAGCTGCCTCCTACACACCTTCTACTGGGGATGTGCCCGCAACCAAGGTACATGCCCTTGACCAGAATCAAACCCGGGACCCTTCAGTCCGCAGGCCGACATTCTATTCACTGAGCCAAACCGGTTAGGGCTCATTGATGAAATTTTAATATCTTGCCTTCTCCCCAACCAGTCAGTCTGAAGCCTACTCTTCCCTAGATTATAGTATTATCCCCCAGTTAACCTATAGAGTTCTTTTTCAATACACATACAAAATCTCATACAATTATTTCTTTAAAAATACTAGTGATATACGTTTGGCTATGCAACATTAATTTTTCACTTACTCCTTAATAGGATATACAAATATACATTTTCTTTCTAATGCTTTATCATTTTCTATAGTATGGATGTGCCATTATTTATTTAACTTTTTCCTTGTTGAAGAATAAATTGTTTCTGTGTTTTCACCTTTCTAAATAATGGTGCAATGAACAACTTTGCTCAACTTGACTACAACCCTGGGGCAAATATTTCTGTGAGAACGATTGCTACAGGTAGAACTGTTGGGACATTGAGAATATACATTTAATATGCTGAAATATGTTTATGGTTATTTTTAAAACTATACTTGAAAGTAATATATGATTTAGTATAATACTGGCAAAACTACTTAAATTTTTTAAAAACTTGCTAGATTATCTGTATACTTATCACTGTAATTTGAAATTATATAGAAAGAATAGTAAATGCTACAATATCACATTTTTGAAATAATTTATTTCCTGTTTTCTAGGTTGCTTTGCCTAATTGACTACTATGAATCTAAAATTAGAAAACTTCATAAACAAAGGTACAACTAATCCTGTATTGCAATTTTTAAAGATACTACCCAGTTGAGTCACACCAAAAGTAGTCAGCATTTTGAAACCTAAAATATGCTCTGGAAATTTACCTAATATGTAACTATGAATTTTTAAAATATTTTTTAAAAATTTAATAAATCTTTATTCAGATTATTACAATTGTTCCTCTTTTTCCCCCCATAGTTCCCCTCCACCCGTCCCCACTCCACCTCTGCCCCTACCTCCCCCCCCCACTGTCCTCATCCATAGGTGTACGATTTTTGTCCAGTCTCTTTCTACACCCCCCATAACTCTTCCCCTCTCCCCCCGAGTATTGTCAGTCCACTCCCTTTCTATGCCCCTGATTCCATTATATTCACCAGATTATTCTGTTCATCAGATTTTTTATTCACTTGATTTTTAGATTCACTTGTTGATATGTATTTGTTCATAATTTTTATCTTCTTCCTCTTCTTAAAGAATACCTTTCATATTAATACTGGTTTGGTGGTGATGAACTCTTTAGCTTTTTCTCTTATCTGTGAATCTCTTTATCTGCCCGTCAATTCTGAATGATAGCTTTGCTGGTTATTCTTGGTTGTAGGTTTTTGCTATTCATCACTTTGAATATTTCATGCCACTTCCTTCTGGCCTGCATAGTTTCTGTTGAGAAATCACCTGACAGTTATATGGGTGCTCCCTTGTAGGTAACTGTTTTTCTCTCGCTGTTTTTAATATTCTCTCTTTGTCTTTTGCTCTTGACATTGTAATTATGATGTGTCTTGGTGTGGTCCTCTTTGGATTCCTTTTGTTTGGGGTTCTGTGCGCTTCCTGGATTTGTAAGTCTTATTTCTTTCCACCAGGTGGGGGAAGTTTTTGGTCATTATTTCTTCAAATAGATTTTCAGTATCTTACTCTCTTCTTCTGGCATCCCCATAATTCTGATGTTGGTATGCTTGAAGTTGTCCCAGCAGCTCCTTATACTATATTCATATTTTTGGATTCATTTTGCTTTTTGCTTTTCCAGTTGAGTGTTTTTTGCTTCTTAGTATTTCAAATCTTTGACTTGATTCTTGTGATCCTCTAGTCTGCTGTTAGATCTCTGTGTAATATTTTTCATTTCAGTCAGTATATGCTTAATTTCTAATTGGTCCTTTTTCATATCTTCGAGGGTCTCACTAAATTTATCGGCCTTTTCTAGAAAATTGTTGAAAAACCTTATAACCATGGTTTTAAAGTCTACATCCAGTCGTTTGCTTTCCTTCATTTCTTTCATTTGTGATCTGTTTCTTTGTCTCTGCATTTTGGCTGCTTCCCTGAGTGATAAAGTGGCTTTGCATGCTAGGTGTCCTATATGGTCCAGTGGCTCAGCCTCCCCAGTTACCTGAGGTGGACACTCTTGGTGCATCTCTTTGTGGGCTGTGTGCAGTCTTGTTGTAGTTAAGCCTTGATTGTTGTTGGTATCACTGGAAGGAATTGACCTCCAGTCCAATTGGCTGTTAGGATCATCAGTGTCTATGCTGGGAGAACTTCTGTGCTGGAGATACCCTTATGAGACAAGACTTGCAAAAGCCTCTGTGCTCAGCTTGGATGGTACAGAGTCTCAGTGCGGAATAGACAGCATTGGTTTCCCGTCATCCCGCCCTAATTGGCCCCTTTGTCTCAGTGTCCTGTGGTAATCGCTACAAGCACCTTTAGGTTAATGGTTTTTAATTAACCAAAAATAGCTGAATAATCTAAAGCCAAATAACCTAAAGTGCTTTCATATATAGTCATTAAAACAGTAGCTAGTCTATTTCATTGTTTATAGATGAAACAGTTCTTTTAACAGAATGTTAACAGTTCTTTTAACATTCTTTGTGCCATGGTCTAGTTTAGGGACAAAGGATAACATGATAAACTAACCAGATAAATCTCCACTTTGATTAAGCATACATTCTAGTATTCTTAAGAAAAATAACTTTCCAGAAACTCAGCAGGACCAGTGTCAGGGCTGTGCTGGTTGCTGATTCCTTCTAGCCCCTTGAGACTCTTCAAAAGAGAGCAGAGGGAAGAAGGCGGGTGGGGGGGAGGGGTAAAAGAGTGAGGAAGGGAAGACAAGAACAGCTAATGGCAGAGCAAATCCTTGCTTCAGAAAGCAGTATTATAAGTAACTTTAGGGACCTTCTCATTTTCAAATGAAACTTACGTTTTAGGTTGTAGGCGTGGTGTTAGATTCTGCAGAGATAGGACAGAATTTTAGGTAGGGTTCTTACATTCTAGGATTTTGCAATCTGCTAAGGGAGATAAAATGTCCACTTATACTCTACATTTTTTCATATAGTTTTTTTGTGACATAAAAGTACTAAAAGGAAAAAATCAGTATGCTTTATTTATTCAACAAATGCTTTTTCATTTACTCTTAGGCTTCATACTCTTCTAGAAAATGAGATATCATGGTGAACAAGACAAAGTTCTGGTTTCTGTTGATCTTATATTTTAATTAAGGTGATAGCAGATATATATATATATATACACACATACATACTCCTCTCTTAGGTAGTAGTACTTAATACCTAATACTATATTCTCTATGAGGACAAGTAAAAAATTTGGCTTAAATTTTAATTCACATTTGGGTTATTAAATAAATCATTTCTTTGAAGATAGATTTTTCCCCATAAGTGTACTGCATCTATTTTTCATAGGCGATATAATGAAGATGAAAGTCAGTCAGAAGATGACGACGACTGCAGCAGTCTTGATGCCTCACCAACTTATAAAGGCCTTCTACTGGTACAGGGACTACATGACTCATAAACACTTTTTTAAAAGTAAAATAATCATGGAGGAAAGTTAACTTTTTTTATTTGAAATATGTTGCAGTCATTACAGAATCAACTGAAGGAATCAAAATTTAAGATTGATACACTTTTAAGTGAAAAGCTGAATCTCCAAAAAGATTTGGAAACCAGGTGAGAAAAACTTAAGTAATTTTTACATAATCTTTGAAAAGTAAGCACATACTGGAATTTAGAATGTTAAATGAGTTCGTTCTAGCCCTTTTATTCTAAAACTAATCTTGAGGAAATTCATGCTCTCATATTCATTTTAGTCAGTTGTCTGTCATATAATGGAAGGAACAAGAACACATACGTAGGCAAGGGAAGTGAGAAAATAGGAGTCTACATTGAAAAGATAAAATTGGGTAGGAACTCAGAGTTGATTCAGTAGTAGATTTTTATACTAGTAGATTTACCGTCCCTAGATTCCTTTAGGACATAGTATTTCATCATATCCTTATGTTGTGGGAGAAGAAGAAAATGAAAAGTTTAAATGGAGCCCTAATCAGTTTGGCTCAGTGGATAGAACATCAATGTGCGGACTGAAAGGTCCCGGGTTTGATTCCGGTCAAGGGCATGTACCTTGGTTGTGGGCACATCTCCAGTAGAGGATATGCAAGAGGCAGCTGATCGATGATACTCTCTCATCAATGTTTCTAACTCTATCCCTCTGTAAAAAATTAATAAAATATATATTTTTTTAAATTTAAAAAAGGAATGAGACATTTAATTCAACAAACATTTATTGAACATCTATTATAAGTTAGATACTTTCCTAAGCTCTAGTATAATATAATGACCAAAACAAATACCTATTCTCATAAAGCTTATATTTTAATGGAGAGGGAATTGATACCTATAGTATAAACTTATGTAAATTTTAACAACCTGCCACATAGTAATATGGAAAATTGTGATTATATAAATAGTAAAAATTTAAAACATGCATGGGAATTATGAACAGTGAATTCGGAATAGTAGTTACTTATGTTATGCAAAAGATAGGAATGACATTACTAAGGGACACATATGGAGTATAAAGTATATGTATAATGTTTTAGTTAAGAGATTTGAACCAAATCTGTTAATATTCAACTTTAATATAGTAAAACTATTTGTAAAATACTATTTGTTTTACTAAATGTTTCACATATAAACAAATAATAGGTTTACAATGATAAAAATGGGTAAGTTTTTTTTATTAAATAATATATTTTATTGACTTTTTTTTTTTTTTTTTTTTTTTTTTTACAAAGAGGAAGGGAAGAGAGAGAGTTAGAAACATTGATGAGAGAGATACCGATTCAGCTGCCTCCTGCACACCTCCTACTGAGAATGTGCCCACAACCAAGGTACATGCCGTTAACTGGAATCGAACCTGGGACCTTTCAATTTGTAGGCCGACACTATATCTACTGAGCCATACCAGTTAGGGCTGGGTAAAAAGTTTTGAATAGGAAATATAGAGAAGAAATCCAATGGCCAATCAACCCTCACTAGCAGTCGTGAGATATTTTAAGAATTTTAATAAGCATATTTGTGACAAGTAACAAAGTATATACTATTGTTTATTATTAAATATCCTTACATGTTTATTTAATACATTGAATATATTCAATATGATTTATTTTCTACAGGCCAACACAGCATGAATTGACAATTTATAAACAACAGGTGAAGAAACTGGAGAAAGCCCTAAAGAAAAGCATCAAGTAACTATATTTTATGGAAGTTACAAATTTATTAGGCTTTTGTATTTTATTACCTCCCATTTTCCCTTATAGTGAGGTTGGCTTAAAATTACCAGGCTGATGGGGTACCGTATTTCTGGTTCCACAGTTTAAAAATTTCTACTGTGCTAGATTTGGCTATATATTCACTTAAATAAGAACAAGAAAACAGAATTTGCCTAATTTAATAAAGGGCAAGATTTTAACTAGAAATTATCTTTGGAAATCATGGAAGGATTTTAAGAGAATCATTGAAATTAGAAATGACAAGTCCCAAATCATGGTGGTAGCCATGACCTGAAGAATATATAGCCTCATCATACATAAAAGTACCAGAATGAATGCAGTGATCCATTCATATTCACATTTGTATCTTATTTGACTTTGAAAAACACGTACTCAGAGGAATTTCAAAAATTTTTTCCTCCAATAGTGGTAGTATTTTCTGAAGATTATGTGTGCTCTGACTCAAGGGAATGGGACTTTAGGGATTATTGGGATGAAATATTTTGAAAGCTATATGAATTAATTTATGTATTAGATGTATTAAATCAATTGTATTAGCATAAGTTGATTCAGTTTTTAGTGACAGCTATATTTCCTTCTTCCTGTGGCAATACTTCTTCCATTTAGTATTCTGGATATACAAGAATTATATATTGAATTAGATAAAATGGTACAGAAGGAAAAACTAAAGAGAGAAGTGAAGGTTTGGAAAAGCTGCATTCATTCATTCAATTACTATTTTTTTTCCTTCCTACTATTGCTTGACATTTTGGGTACCTATGATACCTCTTTCTATCTGCTTGGCATTCTGGGTACTGGAATTACAGTGGTAAACCAAATAGAAAAGATTCCTGCTTTTGTGGAGATTATACAACAGGAGAAGACCAGTGAAAATGACAAGACAGTTTTGATATAAAAGTAATAAATGTAAGATAGTATAAGAGTTGCTATTGTGTGAGTTTTGGACAGGTCAAAGGTGGCAGTAGTGATGGTGTTGAAAAGTGTTTAGAATATTAGAATGGATAGATTGTGATGGATTGAATACAGGCAGCTGGCGGGGAGAGGAAAATCAAGACTCCTACTTTTAGGCCTGAATAACTAGGTAATTGTGCATTAACCAAGTTGGGAAAATCAGCTGAGAAACAACTAGTAAAAGGAGGCTATAGGGAAGTAATAAGTCAGAGGAGAAAAGTGTAGGCAAGGAAAAGCTTTTCATTAGCCCTTTTAGGGTCTCTGTCTGGGCCTGAAAACTAAACTGACAAGGACAGATTAACATGAGAAAAGCATACAGATTTATTGAATATAAGTTTTATATGACATAGGAGCATCCTTAAGGAAATAAAGATCTGAACATGCAGTTAAACCTGAGTGTTTTTATACCAGGTTTGATGAAGAGTGGAAGTTGTGGTAAAATGTGATAGGACCAAAGAGTATGAACTAAGGGTAGTAAACTGGGGGAAACTCAGTTGGTGTCCCTCTGTCTTCAGGGATAAAGTTTCTCTTTTCTTCCTGGTACAGGAGGGCTTTATGATCTGCTTCAGGAAAGAAGAGGGAGGTCAGGAAAACCTTCCTGCACCTGCCATTTTCAGAGAGGATGAGAGAGAGAGAGAGAGAGAGAGAGAGAGAGAGAGAGAGAGAGAGAGAGAGAGAGAGGGAGAGAGAGAGAGAGAGAAAGAAATATCAGTGATGTGAGAGAGTCAATGATGGGCTGCCTCCTGCATGGCCTGCACCTGCCATTTTAAAATTCCTTCAGCTTAAAACATTTCTTATGTCAATGTGGTATATTTTGTAGTGCCATATCTTGATCCTCTACAAAGGAATCTTACTGACTTTAAGGCAAATATAATACCCACACACATGCACGTATGTATATATACAGAGATAACAGAGTTAATCCTTATTATTTGCAGATAACATATTTGTGAACTTGCCTACCTGCTAAATTTTATTTTTAATCTCCAAATCAATATTTGCCGCACTTTCATAATCACTCATGGATATGCCCAACACAAATGTTTCCAGCTGTTGAACAAGATGATGTTCTGCCCTTTTCTTTCAGCCCTTATGCTGTAAAGAAGTATCCTTGTTATCACAGTGCCACTCTTTTTTTTTCTTCTTTTTTTTCTTCCATTTTTGGGCTTTTTGTTAGTGATTTCTCTGAGATGGCTCCCAGACCTTCATGTACTAGGAGAAAAGAAGCAACTTTATCTCTGAAGACAGGGACACCAAGAAGAATCTGAGTTTCCCCAGTTTACTACCCTTAGCTCATACTCCTCTTCCGTATTCACTAGAAAGTTGTGATGTGCCTTACAGAAAAAATACACGCGCTACATAAACTTTATTTTGGCATGAGTTATAGTGCCGTTAGCCCTGTCTTTAGACATTCACACACAGTGAGAAAGTATGACCAGATGCATGCAGGAACCTGACCTTGTATTTCCCCTGGGAGTAGTGGTTTCATCTTTGCTAATTATTATAGTATCTGTTGTTTAGTAAGCATATTTGTGTCTTTATAGAACATAGGTACCACTAATAAGAATTGACTAAATATGTTTTGTTCATTAGGCTCTGGTCTTTAGGTTGACTTTTCACTATTAGCCTTTAAAATCATTATTCAGAACCAATCCCTGCCATATTTTTCTGCTTAATTTTAAGAAATTATATTTTTTATTAATTTAAATTTGGAATTTTAAAAATGTATTTTTGGTATATGGGACGATGCTGCAACTCACTGAGCCACATTGTCTAGGGCTTAAAAGTCTTTTTTTAAAAGTATTTAGATGTGGAAACAGAATTTGGAATGTTAGATAACTTGCATCACATGGGTGGTATGTAGGAGAAATCAGATTTGTACCCAATCATTTTTACTCCAAAACACACACTCCTAACCATCACACTAATAATTAGAACAAACAAAACACCCAATGAAAAAAAATTTTTAAGGTAAAACATTTCAAATTTTTATTTTAAGTGGCAGGGTTAAAATATTTTTCAAACAACTGATGTTGGAGAAATAATTAAGAATATGATCTGTCAATCCATGAATTCTTTCTACATATATAGAAAAAAAGAAACTGTTTGATTACTGAATAAACATTCAGTCAGATTGATATGTTCTATAGACAGTCTGCTAAAGAGTAACAAAGACAGAAAGAGATCTCGCCCTTTTATACAGCCAGGCAATACTATCCATTACATATCTATGAATTGTAATGGATAAAAGGAAAAAGAAAACTTCTCATCAACGTTTCTGGCTCTCTATCCCTCCTCCCTTCCTCTCTGTGGAAAATCAATAAAATTATATATATATATATAAAAGAAGCAGAGCTGTTGCTGTTGTCTTCATAGAATGAGTGTCTGCTATGTAGGCAAAATATCCCTTAGTCACACTTAGGGGATTTTTATGGCCTTCAGGCCCTGCTCACTGCTTTGGAAACTACAAAACAACTCTAGCATATTTCTGAGTACAGCCTATTCTGCTACAATATAGGTTTCTCAAACATTAACTTAATTGGGAAAAAAAAAAAAAAAAAGCTTTTCTCCTTGGCTGCTTAAAGGTCAGTCACCATCATGAATGACACAGTAACTAGCAACCAGAAAGTTCATGACCAATAGACTGCTTGCACTGAAACAAAAGGTCATTGATATCCTTCACCCTGCAAGACAGCAGTACCTCAGACAGAAGTTGGAGGAAAGCTAGCCAAAATGTGTAAGACCACACCAGATGTTATCTTTGTATTTGGATTCAGAACCCACTTTGGGGATGGCAACACAACTGGCTTTGGGATGATCTATGATTCCTTGGATTATGTAAAGAAAAATGTAAAGAAAAATGAACTCTATCATAGGCTTGTCAGACATGGTCTGTATTAAAAGAGACAACTTCCAGAAAACAGCTACAGGAACACAAGAACAGAATGAAGAAAGTCAGGAATTACAAAGGCCATGTTGGTGCTGGCAAAAAAGTCAAGATTCTTCAGTGACTCTCTGTGGTAATTGTGCAGATTTTTCATAAGAGGATTAATAAACTAAGAACTTAAAAAAAAAGGCCAAAAAAAGAGAGAACAGCATTTTTGGTGGGATAAAAAAGAATTTAATACAGATTGAGACAGAAACTCAAATAGTGTCCCAATTGCAGGGTGAAAACAAGAGGTTTTATGAGAAAAGGAAGGGAACAATTATGTGAATAGAAGTGTTGATCTAAAAAAAAAGCCATAATGAGCGACCACAAGCATTTGTTTGAGATCCAAAAGAATAGCTAATCAGGAAGCACTGATTCAGGCGGAAACCCAAAGTGTCCCAATTGGGTTAATGGCAAACGGTTTTTATGAGAAAGGGAAGGAGAATAATGACATGAATAGAAGGTACGAGTTTCTATGGATATTACTAAGTAAAGGAAGGAATTTCTATAGGGGCACATAAGCTTAGGTCATTCTTTAGCTAAATATGGTGGAGCTAATTCTAAAGAAGGTCTTTAATTTTCAGTCCAGAGTGTCAGCTTTCCTGTTAGCTTTTCAAATAGTTGTTTGAAATACAGTGATGTTTTAGGCCTAGTCCAGTGGTCTGCAAACTATGGCTCTCGAGCCACATGCGGCTCTTTGGCCCCTTGAGTGTGGCTCTTGCACAACATACCACATACCCTAATCAAGTTAATAACAATGTGCTTACCTATATAGTTTAAGTTTAAAAAATTTGGTCCTCAAAATAAATTTCAGTCTTTATACTGTTGATATTTGGCTCTGTTGACTAATGAGTTTGCCGGCCACTGGCCTAGTCTAAAGGTTGTTTTGCCCATTTTGAACATTCCAGAGGTTTAAGGAGCAAGACTGTAAAGTTAGTTAACATTTAAATTCAGATACATCAGTTTACTGGTATTCCCACTAGAGAGTATATTGGCTTTTCTGTCTCTTGTATTTTAGATAATATGCTCTTGACTGCCTTTAGGCAAAGCTGTAAAGTATGTGAATATGGAAAATAGGTGGGAAATCAACTGGAAAATGGATTATGAGATCTTTGTGTCTACTAGAGGAAAGAGGCTGACTTTTTACCTAGAACTAATCCATTTACTTTTTATTTTTGTCATATACTCACCAGAGAGCAGAGAAAAGCAATTGAGTGAAGATCAAGGGCAATGTATGTTACTGGAGTAGGTAATTGTAAGATAGTAGTAAGAAATGAGGTAAGAAAGAAGTCAGTAGGAATATTGGGTTAGGACTAACCACATAGAGAGATTCAAATGCTAACCCAAGGAGATTAGTTTAATTTACAAAGCAGTGGTAAGCAATTGATTGTTTTTTAGCAGGCAAATGACATGTGAGTCATGGAATTAATTTGATGAATCAAGATTCTGTAGGAAACTGATAAACATACTCAAAGTTAAGATAGTTAATTTAAAATGGGTATAAATAGACCTGTTTTTCAAAGGGAGGATAGAAGGAGGAATATCTACTACAGTTTGACTTCAGAGATTTTTGGAGAAGGGCAATGGTTTGCTACTAGGTAGATACACTCTTACATAGTTATGTTTCTGGGCAAAGAGACTCCCCCAGCCTTCTATTCTAGTAGCATCCTGGAATAATGTTTTCTTGGGTTTCCATGCCCTCTTGGCTGGCCCAAGCATCACGTTATCAGTGGAGCATGAAGAAGGGAGAACCATACTTCCTAGCTCAGCAGTTACCTACTGGTGGTCCAAGGAGTTCAAAGGGTTGGCGACCGCTGCTCTAGTTCTTGCTGTTTCAGTGCCCAAGCCAGTTGCCCTACCCATTGCTTCTTGCTTCCTTTCTTGCTTCCTTTGTAGCTCCCAGGCTTGGATACGTTGGAAGCTGCTTCCATTCTTTACTGTAGTTCTTTCCTATTCTGTATTTTTTGCAAGTGTTGGGGAGTGGTTAGAAATTTCTTCTTTAGTCTTATCCCTTTTGTTATCAGCAATTCCTTCTAATTTATGGTCTAATTTATTGAGAGAACCTTCTTATTTCCAGTGACAATATGGTTTACATTTTAAAAACGCATGTATGCATGTGTGTGAGCACATGTACACACATACATTCATACATTCATAAAATGATATATAGCTGTTGGGAGGGTAGCTGGATTATTTGACTGAGTTTGTTATCTTCATCCAGTAGGTAGGAAAGCATTTTGTATTATCTTGATTTTTTTCCCCCCTCTAGATTACAGGATTGTCTCAGTCAAAGCAAGACTGAGGACACAGAGAAAAAAGATGACCCCAGCAAAGATAACCAGCGGCAGGCCCTAATTGACCAGAGATACTTTCAGGTATGGAATAGCTGGCAAAGAGATTAGTGTTTGTAGTCAACTTTGGTTTTAATTGCAGTGTCCTAAATTATCCGTTGGTAAGGAATATTTGTATCCAATATTTGTTGTGCTTATCCTGTCATGTCTTGCCATGACATATCTGTTTGGATAAAAACATTATAGTTAGTTTGACTTAGAATCTGTCTTTACGCTTTAAAGAGACTTTGGCCTAGTTCAAAGCAGGGTAGTAAAAAACTGGTAAAATTTTAGAAATATTTTATTCTTTGCTCTCCCTCCTTAAGCCATTTCCCTTTTTATTGTTTTTGGTATGATTAGTATTATTATTATATAAGTAAATTTTCTTAAGGTTCTTGTATGGTTCTTTTTTTAAAATTTAGATATTTAGTTCATCTGAAATTTAATTTCTTATGTGGTGTGATACAGAGATCTTACCCTGCTGATTTTATAGCATAGGTAGATGAGCATTTATTGACTAGATGTGTAGATAAGTCTGATTATTTACTGACTTAACTGGGCCTGCATTTTTATTTTATTGGATCTACACAGGGTTTTTTAAAACTGTGAATTAATTACTAATTTTTCTTAAATTAAGAGGTTTTGTTTATTAAGTTCTTATTTGGAGCTTCTCTTAAAAAGTGAATCTGGCAGCCTGGCTAGTGTGGTTCATTTGGTTGGAGTATTGTCCTAGGCATTGAAGAGTCATGGGTTTGATTCCAGTCAGGGCACATATCAAGGTTGTGAGTTTGATTCTTGGTCATGGTGCATATAGAGGCAACTGAGCAATGTCTCTCTGTCTGCCTCTGTCTGTCGGTCTCTCTTTCTCCATCACTCCCCTTCTTCCCTTTCCCATGAACTTCTGAAGCTCAGCTAGCATCGGTCCCTGGCCTCTTTTAGGAGTGCTACTGCCCTCCTTAACTTTTGGTCTGAGGCAGGAGAAGGAAGACTATGTGGATTCTAATAGGTAATAACTACTTTCAAATCTACATCATTTAAAAAGACATTTTAGTTTTTTTGTAAAATCTATGGTTCTCATTAGAACTTATGTTTAATCATGTTGATGAAACTGTTGTACTTTCAAAACATTACAAATGTCAATCTTATTAAAGATCTTGCTCTCAATGATAATTTAGTGGAGAGGAATATTTTCCCATTAAAATTGTATTTAAAAATTTTAAATATAATAAAAGTGACATACTGAAATGCACTAAAATAAGCAATAAACAAAACTGCTTGTAAATAAGCATCAGAAGTCAAATTCTCAAGAAACTTGTAGCTTTTATGGGGAGAAAAGAAAAATAGTACAGCATTTTCCACTCACTAGTTCTGCCACTTTAAAAAAATACATTAATCGTGCCAAAACCGGTTTGGCTCAATGGATAGAGCGTCGGCTTGGGGACTGAAAGGTCCCGGGTTCGATTCCGGTCAAGGGCATGTACCTTGGTGGCGGGCATATCCCCAGTAGGGGGTGTGCAAGAGGCAGCTGATCGATGACTCTCTCTCATTGATGTTTCTAACTCTCTATCTCTCTCCCTTCCTTTCTGTACAAAATCAATAAAATATATTTAAAAATTTTTTTTTAAAAAAATACATTAATCTTGATAAATCCTGGCCAATGAATCACTAACATTTTCTTACATAGGCTGGTCACTATCCAGATCAGTTTGATCACCTCTCAGCAAGACCTGCATGATGTTTTTAGGATCTCTGTTTAGAATGTGTTGGGCTTTATAATTCACTAGAGGCCCGGTGCATGAAATTAATGCACGGGGGGTGGCGTTTCCCTCAGCCCAGCCTGTACCTCTCCAATGTGGAGCCCCTCGAGAAATGTCCAACTGCCCATTTAGGCCCATTCCTAAACAGGCAGTTGGACATCACTCTCACAATCCAGGACTGCTGGCTCCCAACTGCTCGCCTGCCTGATTGCCCCTAACTGCCAGCCTGATCACCCCCTAACTACCCTGCCCTACAGGCCTGATCACCCCCTGCTGGCCCAGTCACCCCTAACTACCCTCCCTTGCCAGCCTGGTTGCCCCTAACTGCCCTCCCCTGTTGGCCTCGTTGCCCCCAGCTGCCCTCCCCTGCATGCCTGGGTCCCCCATAACTACCCTCCCCTGCCGGTCTTCTTGTGGCATCCATTTTATGTCCATATGGGAGCAGCCATCTTTGAACACATGGCAGTGGCCATCTTGTGTGTTGGAGTTATGGTCATTTTGCATATTACCTCTTTATTATATAGGATTGTCCTTATTCAGAACTTCTGCGGAAGCTGTGAAACATCAGGAAATGCTCCCATTTAATATCTAAATTAGCTTTAATATAAGAAGAGAGGAATAGGGAAATATGGGACTCTAGCTAAGGATATTTGGATGATAATTCTCTATGTGGATTATAATAGGTCATAACTACTTTCAAGTCTACATCAGTTAATATATTTTAGTTTTTGTGTTCTCATTAGAACTTATGTTCAAATCTGTGGTTCTCATTAGAACTTATGTTTAATCATGTTGATGAAACTATTGTACTTTTAAAACATGACAAGTGTCAATCTTATTAAAGACCTTCTTAATGCCTAAAATTAACTTTGAAAATGAAGTTACATTGACATATAAAGCACTCCTTTTACTTATGTCACTTTTAAAGGACTATGGTTAACATTTCAATTAAAGACATTCTTTTTTTTTTTTTTTTTAAGGTACTGAGTAGCATCAACTCAATTGTTCACAACCCAAGAGCTCCAGTAATACTTTATAAACAGAGCAAAGGAGGAGTCCAACAGTTTAATAAAGATTTTGGTCAAGATTGTGAATTTGAGCATCTTGTTCCTATCCTAGAAATGTGGGCAGATCAACTGACTTCCCTGAAGGTAAGGGGCTGAATAGTTTTTACATGCTTAGAAAACCTATTGGAATTGTGGACGTGATTAATAAGCGAGGCTTAATTTGTTTTAACTGTAAAGCTAAAATGGCTTATCTTATTAAATGTTAATCTTGCTACTTACATATCTGTTTTAAGCACTACCTATTTGATGTTGTCATTACTATAAACTGCCTCCTATAAGATTCTACCAAATAAGACATTTTTTAGGCTCATTGCTTTGTTAGAAATCTATAGTAGATCCACTTTGATTTCTAGGTGCTTCCCTGTTCTACTTTCATCTCCCTCTTTTTGTTATCTCCATGGTACAGATTTTCCTCGCCCTTATTTCTCTTCAAATGTAATGTTTTATCCTTCATTTCATTTTAATTGAGAATGTTTTTTTTCTTTTCATATTTAAAATTATTTTTTCTTTTAAAGCTTATCTCCATGTCTGTCTATTCTGCGAAGCAGATTTTGGTCAGATAGCTAGCCAGTACTACTATTACTTATTCTTTTTATCCATGGAAGATGAAATTTTCTTCACTTTATACAGTTGTTATATATTTTTTATTAACTTCAGGTTTTTCCAGATTTTGTTGAGTGGCTCACTGAAAGGTGAATTGCTAAAGTCATAGTATTTAATTTCTGTACCCATTAAATTTTTATTTTTTAAACATACACACACACACACACACACACACACACACTAGAAGCTCGGTGCACGAGATTCGTGCACGGAGCAGATGGGGGTGGGGGTGTCCCTCAGCCCAGGACACCCTCTCCAATCTGGAACCCCTAGAAGGATGTCCAACTGCCCATTTAGACCCTAAACCGGCAATCGGACATCCCTCTCTCAATCCAGGACTGCTGGCTCCCAACTGCTCATCTGCCTGCCTTCCTGATTGCCCCTAACTGCTTCTGCCTGCCAGCCTGATTACCCCCTAACCACTCCCATGCCAGCCTGATTGATGTCTTAACTGTTCCCCTGCCAGCCTGTTTGCCCCCAACTTCCCTCCTCTGCCAGCTTGGTCACCCCTAACTGCCCTCCCCTGCAGGGTTCATCTACTCCAACTGCCCTCTCTTGCAGGCCTGGTGCTTCCCAGCTGTCCTCCCCTGCTGGCCATCTTGTGGTGGCCATCTTGTGTCCACATGGGGCAGCCATCTTTGACCACATGGAGGCAGCTATTGTGTGTTGGAGTGATGGTCAACCTGCATATTACTCGTTTATTAGATAGGAGAGAGGCCTGGTGCATGGGTGGGGGCCAGCTGGTTTGCCCTGAAGGGTGTCCCGGATCTGGGTGTAGGGCGGCTTGAGCCAGGGGCCTGTGGTGGTTTGCAGACTAGCCATGTCCCCTGGCGACCCAACCCAAGTGGAGGCTCTGGTATTCTGAATTTATTTACCTTCTACAATTGAAACTTTGTAGCCTGGAGCAGAGCCAAGCCTCATGCTCGCTCCATGGCCGGCAGCCATTTCTGTTTGGATTTGTTTACCTTCTATAATTGAAACTTTGTGGCCTTATGTGGAAGCTTAGGCTGGCAAGGGCAGGTGGAAAGCTTGGCTTCCTACTTTGCCTGGGAAACCCAAGCCTCCCTCCTGTAGTCTGTGGTTGTAGCCATTTTGTTTGGGTTTATTTGCATACTTGCTTTGATTGGCTGGTGGGCGTAGCGGAGTGAGGGTTAATTTGCATATTACTCTTTTATTAGGTAGGATATGTGTATATTTGTATACATACATATATTTTATTAATTTCAAAGAGGAAGGGAGAGGGAGAGAGATAGAAACATCAATGAGAGAATCATTGATCAGCCGCCTCCTGCAGACCCCGCACTGGGATGGAGCCTGCAACCCCTGCATGTGCCCTTGACCGGAATCAAACTGGGGACCCTTCAGTCCACAGGCCAAAACTCTATCCACCGAGCAAATCAGTTAGGGCTGTACCCTTTAAATTTTATATTTTTCAGTAACTATATAGCATTCCTCTGTTCATGAAGGTGTGATTCAGTAATAGTATTTATCAATAGAAGCCTTATCACAGGAAGCTTAAAGGTTGCCAAAGATACGTGTAAGAATGTGTAAGTTTCAGGAGTTTTGTCTTTGTCCTCTGATGTGTCCCAAGGAATCTCCTGATATATAATAAATATTCAATATTTGTCAAAAGAAAATGAATCAGAATAGCATAGTCCAAGGCAACAAAATAGAGAAGATAGGCCTGAATTTAAAAAGTTTTTAATGAAAACACACCTATAACTGATGAAAGAATCTTCACATTTCAGTCTAATTTTTTCTTCCCATTTTAAGTAGGCTCAGATAGAACTATAAAATAAAAATAAAAATTTTTTAATTGAGTGACAGTGTTGGATTAATATACCTATTTTATAGGCTTGAGTTCTCCAGTTTATATCTTAGAAGAGAGTGGAATAATTAGTGATTAATTATGTAAATCATGGCATTTTCCAAATTATTGCTTGTCAGGGGATTCTTCCAGTAGGAGAGAATAGTGCTGATTTCACTTTTCTCCTTCTCAGGGCAGATGGGATTTAAAAAAAAAGCAAAAAAAAAAAAAAAAAAAAAAGCCCTAACCTTCCCAAGACAAGGGAAAGATTAGAAGAGAAAGGAGGCAAAGGAAGAATCAAATAAATGTATAGTCACTGGTTATTTACTGTGTTCATTGTGGGAGGTATCAGAAAATATGAACATAGATTCAGATTAATTGGAGAGAGAAAACATGCTAAAATATATGAAATAAAATTTACCTTAGGAAGAAATGAAAACAGATAGGCCATGAAGTGCCAAGTGGAGGATGCAAATAATTTGTACTCCAGATTCTGGAGGAGGAAGGAGCCCCCAAGAAAAGCTTTACAGTGGTGGTGAGTTCTTGCTACTGTATATTTTTCTCACTAGAAGGAGAGGAGAATTAGTTTTATAATTAGAATATCCTGAGAACCCACAACAGGAATTTAGTGACTTTGCCACTGAAATAACTCAGAGATTTGGGGCCGTGCATCAGATATTTACCTTATGCTGCAGAATCGGGATCCAAATTGAGCAAGTTCATGAGGTTCTTTGAGGTCTCTTCATATGAGAGGTTTTTCTAAATGTAGCAGCCTCTAAGTTTGGGACAACCATTTTCCCAGATTAGTTTATTTCTCAAGTTAGACTTGGCATAAAAGAGAAAGATGGAAAACGCGTGGAGCTAGCTAGCTAGCTGTCTCCTTCCTGTTGTCTTTCCCACCGCCCACATTTCCCAGAAAGTTGAGCTACAGACTCTGTAGCTTTCCCAGCCCAATGCTGTGGTGTGCTGTGGCTTCCCAACCCCTAGTGCTCCAGAGGCCAGCCGTCCAAAGTCGGACATGACCTGTACTTCTACATCCCTTAGCTGAGCAATGTGGAGAATCTAGAAGACCCTCTTTTAGGTTTTTTGGGGCTTACTTGATGGACCACTACAGCCATCCTGCACTGCTAAGTACATCAGACATCTTCTCTCCCCCACCCCCTTAATCTTGCTAAGACTTTTATTCTCAAGGAGAAATTTATAATTGGTGTGGTTTGCACCATAGGCCATTTGTTTATGACTACATCTTGTTGATGGAACATTGGTTAATGAAAGTATCATTATGCTGCAACTTTTGGACTTTTAAAAAAATTCTGGTGTCACCTAGTGTTTAAAACATTCATTTGACACTGAATGTATTGCCTTGAATTGCTAAAATAGGTAATTACCTTCTTATCAAATGAAAGGTTAAAGAAGTCTGGGCATTAATTGAAAAGTGTTAAATAAGTGGAGGACTAAAAGAGTTGGGGAAAAAATGTCTGCACTAATACAGTAACCACCTGCTACATGTAGCTTTGATTATTGAAATGTGGCTGGTTGCAATTGAGATGTGCAGTAAGTATAAAATACTCTATTTAGAACACTTAGTGTGGAAAAAATAATATTAAATATTAAATGATAAAAGTTCAGATATATTGAGTTAAATAAAATAAATCATTAAAGTTAATGTCACGTGTTTCTCTTTTTATTTTTTATTTATTTTTTAAAAGATATATTTTATTGATTTTGTACAGAGAGGAAGGGAGAGAGATAGAGAGTTAGAAACATCGATGAAAGAGAGTCATCGATCAGCTGCCTCTTGCACACCCCCTACTGGGGATGCCCGCAACCAAGGTACATGCCCTTGACCGGAATCGAACCCGGGACCTTTCAGTCCCCAAGCCGATGCTCTATCCATTGAGCCAAACCGGTCCCGGCACGTGTTCCTCTTTTTAAAGTGTGGCTACTAGACAATTTAAAATTACTATGACTCAATAGCAAATGCCCTTAAAGGAAGTGGGATGAGTCAATAATTTGACTCATGCACATAAGACAAGGGGGGACTGAAAGGGCAGGCTGGGGCTAACTCCTGATCCTCCATTTTGTAACTGGATCCTAGCCCTCACCCAACCAATTGGGGTCAGCCAAAGCAGTGACATCACCACCTCTATAAAACCCTTTGATCTGTTGAAGTTCGCTCTCTTCCGCCACACCGCTGTTGGTGTAAGTGGGACAGAGCCCATGCTAGCATGGAATAAAAGGCTCTTTTGTTTTTTTGAAAAAATAAATAAATAAAATAAAATTACTATGACTCACATTTCTTTTGGACAGCATTGTTCTAAAGGGCCAAGTACTGTGACATGCACATATGGTGGATGTTCAGTAAATATTTTTCAGTTGAACAATCTTAAAGTTCTAAACTTTCAGTAGCCTTGCTCCTATGCAGTTTAAAATAGACTAGGACAACATGTCTAGACCAGAGAACTAAGTAGGCCATCATCAAGATTAAGTACAATTAATTTAGGCATCCTTTCAAATTAAAACCTGCTTGGAGATATATGCTATAATATGGATGAAGCTGGAAAATATTATCCTAAATGAAAGAGGCCAGGCACAAAAGGCCATTTATTATATGATTCCACTTTATGTGAAATGCCCAGAATAGACAAATCCATAGAAAAAGAAAGATCAGTAGTTACCCAGGATCTTGGGTCAGGGCAGAATGGGGAATGACTTTAAGTAGGTGCAGGTTTATTTTTGTGTTGATGATAATGCTCAGAAATTAAATAATGTCTGCATATCTCTGTAAACATATTAAAATACTCAATTATATACTTAAAAAGGGTGAATTTTATGTTGTGTGAATTACATCTTTATAAGTATGTTATAAAATAAGTTTCAGGCCAAGATATAAAGAACAAACTTATTTTTTATCCATCAATAAACCAATTACTTAAATTATATAAGCTGATAATAAAATAATATATAATTGTTTAAAACATCCAGTTTCAAGCAATTATATATATGTTAATATGGAATGTTTTATGTAAGGCCTATATTTACCTGGAGAAAACTATTTTAACAGGTTTCTCTAAACTGGTAATGGTATTTAAAAAAAATACTGATAGTAGCCAAAACCGGTTTGGCTCAGTGGTAGAGCATCGGTCTATGGACTAAAAGGTTCCAGGTTCGTTTCCGGTCAGGGGCATGTACATTGGTTGCGGGCACATCCCTGGTAGGGGGTGTGCAAAAGGCAGCTGGTCAGTGTTTCTCTCTCATTGACGTTTCTAGCTCTCTCTCTCCCTTCCTCTCTGTAAAAAAATCAATAAAAAAAATATTAAAAAATACTGATAATAATGTACTTAGTAGATCCTAGCATAAATCCTGATTTTAAAAAGACATTGAAACATAATTACATTTTATTAGTATATTTATGGAAACTTATTTTTAAATCAATGATACCTTGTTATTTCTTTTGTTATAAAGGATTTGTATAAGTCCTTGAAAAAACTATCTGCAGAATTGGTGCCTTGGCATAATTTAAAGAAGCCAGATGAAAAGGAAGGTATCAGAGTTGAACACCTGTTGTTTATGGTAGATACCATATTGGAAGAAATTGAAAATAAGGAAAAGGTAATACTACTATGTAAATGTTTATATTTTAACTAGTGGCCTGGTGCACAAAATTTGTGCACTTGGAGGGGGGTCCTTCAGCCTAGTCCGGGAGCCCTTAGGGGATGCCCAATTGATAGCAGCATAGTATTTTTTATAGCAGCATAGTATTCCCTCGTGTAGATGTACTACAATTTTCTAATCCTGAGCCTACAGTTGGACATCTTAGTGTTGCTGCAGAGGCTGAAGAGGTTCCCGCCACTACCTGTGTGCTCACCAGCCTTGAGCCCAGCCAGGAGACAGCTCCTGCATTGAGCACCTGCCCCCTGGTGATCCATGTGCATCATAGCGACGTCATTCCACAGTTTGGTCAATTTGCATATTAGCCTTTTATTATATAGGAGGATGTAATCTTAACTTAAAATTGGTAACAATATGGATATTGATAGTCTACTAGGACTCTGTTTCTCTTTTTAAAGTTTTTATTTTTTTAAAGATTGGGGATTATTTTTAACATGTGAACTTTCTTTTTCTCCCTTTTTTGGACAGGACAGCAACATACCAAACTTTAAAACTTTGAAAGCTATTGTTTGTCATTTCCAAAAATTATTTGATGTGCCTTCTTTAAATGGAGTCTATCCCAGAATGAATGAAGTTTATACTAGGCTTGGAGAATTGAACAGTGCTGTGAGAAACCTCCAAGAACTCTTAGGATTAGGTGATGACCTTTTGTCGTTTTGGGTCCCCATTTAAGAATTATTTGTAATCAACAAAAAGTAGGTAAAAAAGTTTAAAGTAAAAAAATTGAGGATAAGTGAGGGATAATTGAGCATAATTGGTCTGAAAAATTAATGATTTTGAGAATTCTTTTAAAATACCTTATTCTTTTTAAAATTTTATTTTATTATTTAAAGTATTACAAATAGTAGGACATGTGTCTCCTTTTTCCCCCATTGTCCTCCCCCTGGCCTCCCTTACCTGTGACACATGCCTTCACCGCCCCCCCCCCCCCGTGTCTTGTGTCCATTGGTTATGCTTATATGCATGCATACAAGTTCTTCAATTGATCTCTTCACCACCACCACCACCACCACCTCCCCTCCACCTCCCGTCGTCCCGTCCCCCCCCGCCAATCCTCCCCTACCTTCCCAGTGTTCCCAGTGTAGTTTAACATCTGTTCGATGCTTCTTTGCCTCTGGATCTATTTTTGTTCATCAATTTATAATACTGTTTATATTACACAAATGAGCGAGATTATGTGGCATTTATCTTTCTCTGACTGGCTTATTTCGCTTAGCATAATGCTCTCTAGTACCATCCATGTTGCAAATGGTAAGAATTCTTTCTTTTTTACAGCAGCATGGTATTCCCTTGTGTAGATGTACTACAATTTTCTAATCCAATCATCTGCTGATGGGCATTTAGGCTGTTTCCAAATCTTAGCTTAAAATACATTATTCTTTTATTTCTTTTGCAGATAGTTCATCCTCATTGTGTGTGCTGGTAAGCACAGTTGGAAAATTGTGTAGGCTGATTAATGAGGATATGAATGAACAGGTTATGCAGGTGTTGGGACCTGAAGACCTCCAAAGGTATTTGTTTTTAAAATCTTGCAAAATATCATCAAGAATGCTTGGAGTGGTGAAATTAAAGACTCAAACTTTATAAGTTTTTTATCTTTCCTGTTTGGAATAGCATCCTTTAAATAACTTGACAATCTAAAATAATCTTACACCTTAGGGATGGAGAGAATGTCAAGTATTTACAAGATAAAAATAGATTGTAAAGCCTATAGGCTTACATAAGGTGGATATGTTTACGTAATCCAGCATTATTGCTATAAGCCTATTCCCAGAGGAAATAATATGTTGGCAACTTCATGTGAGATTAGAATATATAAACAAGTTCTATTTTTAGTATACTACATATTTGATTAGAAGATAAAATGTTATGGGTGTTGTTTTTTTTTAAAGCTAGGCATCTCTGTTATAAATCCTTTCTCCCCTCACCCCACAGAAATTTTATATTGCAACATATTGTAAGGGAAACATATCCCATATGTTCTATAAATTTTTTAAGAAGAACCTTTACCTAACCTGACACTTTAGTTTTCTGGTACTTAATGCTTTTATTTTTAAATATATTTTTATTGATTTCATAGAGGAAGGGAGAGGGAGAGAGAGACAGAAACATCAATGATGAGAGTGAATCACTGATCAGCTGCCTCCTGCACGTCCCCTACCAGGGACCTGGACCAACCCCACAACTAGGGCATGAGCCTTGACCAGGAATTGAACCATGATCTCCTGGTTCGTAGGACAACACTCAACCACTGAGCCACACCAGCTGGGCTACTTAATGCTTTTAAAAGGAACATTTATCTCACTACTGGTCTTTTTTCCCTTCCCACTATTTTACTAGTACTGGCTACTAATATTTAATGTTTAAGAGAACACTAGATATAAAAGCCAATTATTTTTTTTAATATGTTATGGAACATGGTTTCTCAAGAATTCTTGAGCTAAATGGTAGGGGAACTTTATATGAATTTACCTAAATTTATCCTTAGAATAGATATTTACACTGATAATATATATATTGTTTAGAAAATTGATGTTTGATGAACAAAGAGCACAAAAGAAAGTATTACAGTAAATTATTAAATTTATATTTAAATTAGGACAGTTTCTATTTTGAAAATGTTCTATGTTTAATCAGATGCAAGAACTTTAAGTTGGAAATTCAGTGTAAACTGCCTTTTTTTTTTTTTTATAAAGCATTATCATCAAATTGCAAGAACACGAGGAATTTTTTCCAGCTTTTCAGGCATTCACTAATGATCTACTTGAAATCTTAGGTAAGCTCTCTGTTAATGGTGTTTAAATTTCAAGTCTCAAGATGTCAGTGGGTTTGAGTGAAGACCATTGTCCTTAGTCACTGAATTAGTGTTTTCACCCGGAGTGTTTGGTAGAAAGTGTCTGGAAACCATGAGCAGTCCTGCGAACACTCCTAACTTGCAGCTGGAGGTGATTGGGACTAGTTTACAGAACAGAGAAGCACATATCCTTTACGGAGCAGGGGCTGCCTTTGTCCTGGGACCTTGAGATGAGAAATGGCATTTACTCTGGCTGGGCCCTGGCTCTGTGATTTCCAGTGAGAAACCTTGATAGAATTTATGACCTTGAATAGTGTTTTTTCTTTTCCTCTTCCTTCTCTTGCTCCTTTTAAAAGACAGTGTACATGTTCTGTACTCGAAGCTACACTGTGTTCTAGTAAAAAGCCTGCTCAGATTGGCCAGAGTCAGAGAGGTGGTCTATTAAAAAAAGAACTGGTATTGCCTCGGAAGTGGGGGGTAGTCTTATACAGCGAATATAGGCCTAAACCTACGTTTTAACTAAAATTAGGGGGTCGTCTTATACGCTGGAAAATATGGTACTCAGGTTGTGGGTTTGATCCCCAGTATGGAATAATATGACTTTACCTGCTTCTGCATAACTTAAATAGTGAAGTTCTCATTATTAATAGATATTTTAATAGATGTGCTGGTAACACTTATTTCAGAATCCTTCTGTACAACTTCTTCTCAGATGTTAGCATGGTTCATGTGAGATCATTTGCTTCAAGAAGCCAGGTCTCCCTGCAGATGAAGTCTGCATTTTAGTCACAGTTGCAGTTCTGGAGTTAAATATTATATATAACATTGGGAAAGTTAAAATCTGTTTTGGGAAGCATGACTTTTTTTATTACTAGATGTCATAGTAAGCATCTATAACTAGAGTAATGTACTGAATATCAGATATGGAGGTCTTTCTTCCTAATTTCATTTAAGCTGAGAAAATTCTCATATTAGCCAAGATTCTTATCATTTATCAAGTAGATTTCTCATTTAGTTAGAAAATAGGTGTGATTTCATAATGGGTTAGATAACGGCTTGCTCTTATACCTTATCAGGATATAATGTGTGAACCAAATTCTATGTTGTAAATTTGCTTATATTTTTTCCTTTCTTATATCTTGATGCTTTGTAATTGGATCCAGACAAGTATTCTGACTGAAGTCAGAAGCTTAAATAACATGGGGTCATGTGTTTAAACAAAAGAAAGAACAACCAAAATCCAGCTAAACATTGAGGGAGGAAGGTGGATACTAAGGAAGCATGTTTTATGTAAGATTTATGAACAGCGGCCTAGCAGAATAATCTAGAAAAAGTGGTAAGAATCTAGAGAACCTGCCAGTGGGGCTTACTTTAAGTAGCGCTGGACTTTATTTTATTTTTTTAAATATATTTTATTTATTTTTTACAGAGAGGGAGAGGGATAGAGAGTTAGAAACATCGATGAGAGAGAATCATCGTAAGCTGCCTCTTGCACACCCCCTACTGGGGATGTGCCCGCAACCAAGGTACATGCCCTTGAGCGGAATAGAACCTGGGACCTTTCAGTCCGCAGGCCGACACTCTATCCACTGAGCCAAACTGGTTTCAGCAGGACTTTATTTTTTCATTTAACATTTTTTTGTTGTTGTTAATCCTCAGTTGAGGGTGTTTTTCCATTGATTTTTAGAGAGAGTGGAAGGGAGATGGAGAGACAGGAAGATACGTCAATGTGAGAGAGACACATTGATTGGTTGCCTCCTGCACAGACCCCAATCAGGGAACCTGCAACCGAGGTATGTGCCCTTGACCAGGGTCAAACCCAGGACCTTTCAGTCCACAGGCTGACACACTATCCACTGAGCCAAACCGGTGAGGACATGGAGTTTAGATAATCAGAGAAAGGTCTGTGCTTCCTCAGTAACCAGGAGCTTTCAGAGTTCTGACTTGGGCTGATTGGGAAAAGATAGTTTTAGAAAGAAAAATCAGATTCAGAAAGAAGCTGGTGGAGAAAAACATGAACTGATTTATCTGGGAAGCTGGAGCAGGCTAACCTCTAATACATTACATCTAATATTTGTACTTTGGGAAGCTTCACATCTTTTATTACATTTCATCCTAAGAAGTAGACTTCAGAGTGATCCTACTAATGAGAAATTTTTCCAAGAGAATTAAGGACAGGACTATGTTCCATGCAAAGAAATCCTTACGGACCAGAGAGAAAAGGCCTCTACCTGGGATTTCACCATGTAGGCTCACCCACGTAATCATACAGACTTAAAGAGGCAGTAACATCATATCATAATGTGGCCAGAAAGATCTAGGAATAAGAGTATACTGCTAATGAACTTAAGTAGTGAATGCTTATAGATAGGGGGTAGCTTTTACAAACAAGATGCCCTGTGAAGCATCTGTGTCTGCATTAGTGATATTCTTATCATTATTGGAGAAAAATGTCATGTACATGAAAGCACCAGTGTTGTTGCTATTGTGTTTGAGGTTTGCCTTTGCATAGAGATTCTCATTTCATCTGAGCCTATCACTAGACAATGCTACTCTTTTATCATTCTTGTGTGTTTTTTATTACAGAAATTGATAACTTGGATGCCATTGTACCTGCAGTAAAGAAATTAAAAGTACTTTCATACTGAAAGCAAATCATTTTTACTGTGTAAATTGCATTCTTGACATTCTAATTATTCTGTAGGATTGATCTTATCTTTGAGACGAGTTATAAAAAGTATTTACTTTCAGAATTCATTCCCTTCTTAGTATTGGGTCCTCATATATTTTTTTTTAACTTTGAGATTCTTATGTAGAAAACAGTTAAGTTAAAGTAGTCAGTTAAGTTTAGACCCTTTAATCATTTCTCAAGCAATTATTGAGTGCTTAAAATTTAATATTTAGAGTATAGTGTGTAAGTAAAAGAGAAATTCAGGGAGAGTTTGAAAATAATAGAAAGGTCACATTTAAGTTCAGGGTTTAGTGACCTTTCTGGTTCTGAGAACAAAGAATGCAATGGCTCTAAGTCCAGTAGGAAGATATTGCTTTCCTAGCAAGAAAATGGCACCTGTTAAGATATCCCTCATGGCACTTATTTTTTCAAAGCAAGAGTAAGAAAAGGAAGAAGGAGGAAATGTATTAGGATAGAAAATAAATTATGAGGTAACATAGATGAGTAGATAAAAGTTTCTCATAAAGAAGTGTCCTTTTTTTTTGCACTCTTGATGTAATGTACTTTTTATAAGGGCATGAGAACTTAAATAAAATTTTTATGAAGAATTTTCAAACATAAGCGTCCTCAGTGACTTATTTGTATCACTCACAAATAATGAGTCATATTCTCTTATTAGTCATATTCACTTCCTTGGGCAGCAAGTTCACCCTTGGATGCCGTCTACTTATTCTTTATTCTCAATATTCAAGTCTTTATTTTCTTAAAGGACTAGTGTTCTGCTTCACATCTATGGGTACAAGCCACTTTGGGTTACTACTGCTTCCCCCTACCACAGCCCTGTACGCCCTATCCCCTCACTTTCATAAGTAGTAGACCTAGGAAGACTACTTAGTTATTCTTGTTTCTTGTTGTGTAGAATTTTATAAAGAATTTCCAGGAAGCAGCAGGCTAGAGTGGAGAGAGGAATGTCAGTAGATATGCGTATAGATCCTTGGTGGTGTGACCTTAGGAATTAGACATAGTTCTTTCTAGATTTAAAATTGTTTTATTAGTCTGCAATTACATTTTCAAACAGTAGCCCATAATTTGTGAGCCTGTATCTGAGGGTTGGATAGAAAAAAATATTTGAGATCTGGCCAGTGTAGCTCAGTTGGTTGGAATGTTGTCCTGTACACCAAAAAATGGTGGGTTTGATTCTGGTTGCAAGTTCTATCTCCAGTTGGAGTGTGTACAGGTGACAACTGATTGATTCTTCTCTCAAGTCAATAAAAACTTAAAAAAATACACACACACACGTATATGTGTATGTATATGTGTGTTTATGTATGTATTTGGATATTTAATAATGTAAATATGCTGAGTTGATTAGATTATTCCAAGAAATTGTTATGAGACAGGTTGGAGATTAAACAATATTTGAAAGGAAGAAATTAAAGTTTAATTTTAAAAGAAATTTAAAAAGGAAGCTTAAAAAGTTTAATCTAAATTTTGTCAATTTAATCTAAATTTTAAGAGCCTATGGCTAACTCTTAGTTTAAAACAAAGGTTTTTTTAGATTCTTCCTCAAAAGCCTAGGAGTCTTTTGGAGGGGGACAGGGCCACTTTATTAGATAATTAATTAAAATATAAGTAAAATTCTGCAAATATTATTTAGCTCTTGATTTTCTTTTTAAAAAAATATATTTTATTGATTTTTTTACAGAGAGGAAGAGAGAGGGATAGAGAGTTAGAAACATTGATGGGAGAGAATCATCGATCAGCTGTCTCTTGTGCAACCAAGGTACATGCCCTTGACCGGAATCAAACCTGGGACCTTTCAGTCTGCAGGCCGACGCTCTATCCATTGAGCCAAACCGGTTTTGGCTAGCTCTTGATTTTCTTACAATTTTATTGATGTGTAATTGACATAAATTATACATATTTAAAGTATATGGTTTGATAAATTCTTATACATCTGTGAAACCATCACCACATTCAAAATAATATACCCATCACTCCAAAAGTTATTTCTTTGCCCTGGCAACAAATATCTGCTTTTAGTCATTATAGTTTGCTTTTGATAGGATTTTATATAAGTAGCGACATACAATGAGTTCTCTTGCTTGTCTTCTCACTTGGCATAATTATTTTGAGATTTTTGCATGTTGCATTTATTAACAGTTTGTTCCTTTTTATTGCTGTGCAGTATTCCATTGTATGAATATACCATAAATTGTCCATTCCTTTGTTGTTGGAAAGTTGGGTTATTTCCAGTTTTTTGCTATTTCTACAAATAAAACTTGTATGAACATTCATGTTCAGGTCTTTGTGTGGACACATACCTGATATTCAGTGACTTGAAAACTATAGTTTTCATGTATTTTGTGTTTTTGTTGATTTTGGTTGGTAAATTTGGTTTCTGTCAGACCATCCTGGTTTAAAAGTGGAAGTTTAGAAGAAAATAATGCAGGGTTGTCTCTTTGCTTTTTCTAATTTTATTACATTGTAGTCAGTTTGGATACTAAGTCTTTGGAATTTGTTGACTATGTGATAAATTATATACCTGTTCTATATGTGCTTTAAAAAAAGTGTAATTTCATACATACATATAGCTACTATGTTGTTTAAATCTACTTTTTGTCTGCTTGATTTGTTTATGGGCGATACTGAAATTTCTGGATTTTTCAAATTTGTTTTATATATTTTGAATCCAATTTATAAGTAGTTATAAATTCAGAGTTGATAATATCCTCTTATCCTCTATTTATTGCTACGTGTGCATTTTGCCTTGAATACAATATTGTCCATTCTTTTAATTAATAATTGCTGGATATTCTTTTTTTTTCATTATTTCACTAATCTTTTTATTGTAAAAAATACGCTAAAAAATGTTAAAAACCATAAATGTCAAATATAACAAATACTTATAAAGTGAACACTCTGTAACAACCAAGAAGTAGAACATCACAAGCACTCCAAAAGGCCTCCCCCCCATTAGAGGTAAGGAAGTGTTTATTTTGTAAACAGTTTTTTCATTTTTGTGTGTATGGCCAAACCAAGATAGTTGAATTTTGCCTGTTTTTGAACTTTATAAAAATGGAATCATATGTGTATTTTTGATATTTATTATTGATATTTTGGTCAGTACTGTGCTTTTACTCTATATCCGTGTTGCTGTGTGTAAGTCTAGGCCATTTGTTTTCACTGCTGTCTAGTATTCCTCTATGAATATGTTACAATCCATTTGTTCCACTGGAGATTGATATTTAGGTTGTTTCTAGTTCTTAGCTACTACGAATTGCTGCTATGAAAATTTTTGTAAATGGAACTTTGTACACTTGTGTGCAAGTTTTCTAGAACAATATCCAAAAAGTAAAACTGCTGGGTCTTACGGGAAAACACTACTATATGTAGCCACAGAGGCTGTGTAATGTACAAATGGAGGTAGTACCATTTCTATAGGTAACAATGTAAATGGGGCTTCTGGGATTATACAGTGTGACTACTTTTAATAGGGAATGTATATCTGCAGTTTTAGAAGAAAATGTCAAACTATTGTCCAAAGTTGTTGCACCATTTTATTCTCCCATCATCTGTATAGGAGTTCCTACTTTTCCATATCCTGACCAATACCAGGTAAATCAATTTTTAAACTTTTTTCTAGATTAGTGTATAGAGCTATTATTTTATTTTAATGTTTATTATTAATGAAGGTAAGCATCTTTTTATTTGATTAATGGCCACTTGTATTTCTTAAGGTGCATTTATGTGTCTTTATTTTTCTGTGGGACTTTCTATTTGTTTGTAAGTTATATATTCTGGACATGAGCGATTTGACAGTTACATGTCTTGCAAATTCCTGTACTTTCTTTGTATGAACTGAAGAATCTAATTTTGATATAGTGCTCTTTGTGTTTTATGAAATCTTTCCGTAGTCACAAGTTGTAATGTTATTTTCCTATATTATCTTATAGCTATATAGTGTTGCCTTTCACATTTAGTCTAATATACCTGGAGTTGTTTGACTTGTGTATTTTTTAAACAATCAAGACTTACTAAGGGTTATCAACATATCTTACAGATTTCTTCACTCTGTTTCCCACACCCCACTTCTGACTTCTTGCTGAAATACATCTGGCCATTTTTGTATAATCTGACCATGTGCCTCATATTTTTTAAATTCTACTTTTTATAATTTATCCAGTGAGTTTAGTGGGGATTATCTGCTGCAGTAGTCCACACGTGCCCTGGATGGTAATGGCAACCCTAAGGGCCAGTTTTGTGATTGCCTCTTACAGGGCTTCACATGGTTCCAGATTCAAAACCTATTTTCACTAAGTTTCAAGTTTGAGGGGTTCCCATACCAAGTGAGTTTTGTTAACTTTAGACCCCGTGAACCCATAAAGGAGATTAGCTAATTGTTTTTACCCATTGCTGACCACCAATTCCTTGTCTTTATTGATAAGGACTGTTCTCGATACTAAATTTTTCAGGCTCCTTGTCCCTCATATAGTAAGTAGCCTTGTCTCCTGGCTGGTGTATGTTAAAATTCTGGTTCCCTTCAACACTTAACACGCCTTCAGCTCCTGTACATTGCTTTAGATTGCCTCTTTAACCTTACCTGTTACTTTTTAATCAACCGTGTTCAAAATAAATGTTCATGCTTTAACTAGGTTTTCTATGTTTGGAAGAGGAAAGATAGGTTTTCACTTGTCTGCTTTGCCATTTCGGTCAGTTGTTTTAGGGTTGCCAGATTTCAGGATCTGATATATGATAACATTCCCTTTTACTTCTTTGGTCCTTTACCATTTCCAAGACCTTTGTCTACTTAGTGAACATGACAATGCCATTGTGAGGTAGATAGGACAGGCATCAGTTGCCCCATTTTATTATAAGAATTTGTCATTCAAGATAGAAATCACAGTAGAAACAAATTTATTACACATCTACATGTATTAATACTTAGCATAATCTTGGATGATGGAGGTGAAAATC